CAATGTGTCAAATTTCTAGTAAATAGACCATTTCAGTATTAAATAAGTAACGTAAAATTTTTAGCTGTTCTTTATATATGCATTTACGTACATACATACATAGATTTTTTAATTACTTTATACATATGTGTCTGAATAAAAACATACACTCCCAGTCATTTGAATAGCACACCCTTTTAATCCGCAGTATGTCCTTTCGTTTGCTTAATATTCAATAATTTTTCATAAAAATTTAGCATAAATATTCTACGTGTAAATCCAAATTAAAGTTCTATTCAAATTTGTAAACATATCAACAAATGGGTGCGCTATCCCAAAGACCTGCAGTGCATAAGTTAAATTATTTTTAGTGTAGTAAAGTGCAAGTTTCAAGCGCCTACAAAATACCGTTGATTTTTGAATTTTTTTTTTTTTTGTTGACGGCGCGCCGTTGAGCATTTTTCCCCCGTATAAGAATTTTGTCGAGCATACTTTGTATGGAAGAAAATACATTACACTATGTATCAAAAAAAAAATTTTCAAAAACCATTCGTATTTTGTAGCCACTTGAAACTGGCACTTTCCTGTAAAGGATGCGAAGACGGCAAAATGAGGATCGCTCTAAATAACTGATCTTCCGAGTAGGTTTCAACTAAAGTCAAACAAAAGAAAATAAGCTCAGTTGACATGGCTGATGCATATCTATTGCCAAAGATAAATTTGAACTGTGTCATTATTATTTTACTTAATTTTTCACTTTACAACTAAAGCTAAATCAGAAGGTCTTAGAACTTTGCCCATTTCATACAAAACAAAAAGGAGCAAAGAGTCGACCACGGAAGGCTTTAAATATCAGAAATAAAGGCTCCGAAAAGGCCTCTATTTTTCTATTTGTTCCTTTTTTGTTTCTTACAAATAACCTTTTATAATTACATACATTCGATTATTATTCATTTACTTTCAATATGAAACTAGCACGATCTTAAATAGTTTATGTTTATATGAGAATCGCGCCGAGCCGAAATCGATGGTTGTAATTTGTTTAATAGTTTGTTTTTAATTCCCTACTTCATATAAGTTAAACAAAATATTACCATAAAAATGTCTACAGGTGGAAAGCAATCTAATTAACATTTTCCTTTCAAATTTTAATTATATGTTTATACTAAAATTAATTGACGGGTCGATCAACTGCACGCACACATCACAATTAAACAGCTGCACAAAGCGAACGCCCAATAAACATTGTGGCGAACGTTTGAAAAAACCTTCGATATCCAATATGAATATCGAACTGAGTACGAACTCATAACCAACCTTAGTTTTCCAACGTTCATTGTAAATTGAAAATACACTCGAAGTGGGTTCGAAGAAAAATTAAAACCATAGTAACAAGAGAGCAGAGAGGGTAACCCTAACCTTAGACAATCACTCTCGCTCAATAAAATTTCAATTCGATATGGGCTGGATGTCGAATTCATAACGAAGGGAAAATACATTGGATAACGAATACCAACCTATTCTATTGCACATTCGTTATCGAAGGTGAGACTCGAAAAAATATTGATTTCTCAAACATTTTCGAATTGTTAACCAAGCCCAATGTTTATTGGGTGTAAACACAGCTTCATATGTATGCACGTATACGCATACATACATACTACTTAGATGTGTACGTCCATAAAATGTAGCTTATTATTGAAATCATATAAATTGCATTTCATTAAACCATCAGTGAATAGATTTCCACGTTTGTGTGCTTGCTTTTCGCTTTCAATGGAAAGTTGGTAGATAATCAAATCAATGTGATTGGTTAAAAGTTCAGTTAGTCTAGACTTAACTTAATTTAACTTGACGTAAAAAATCACCAATGATTACTCAACACGTCAACTTAAGCCAGAACCGGAAATATTTTGTTCTTGTATCTTCGTTTTCAGCTGTTTGACAGGTTGCCGCCTATAATGCCACATCAAAAAAATTCATACTAAAAATATCTCTGCCTTCATTTGTTTTTGAGAAATGCAGACACGAAAATCTGGCAAGCCTGATTCTCTCACCGCTCTCAGTTTTTGTAAGGCCGTAACATAAGAAGCTAAAATCTACAGGTTCTTAAGTTTCTAACGTTAAGTTAGAACACAGTTTCTCATACATATAACAGGTTGGCCAAAATATTAAGGGAAGGTAAGTTACGGAAATTAAGCCTAGACTAACTAAGCTTTAATTCAGCATGTAAATCGAAAGTAAATATGTATACATATATAGTTCGCAGGTGCGTATGCGTAATATTTTCATCTACAGAACTCGGAGATAAATGAGATGATTCTATATTTTATTTTCCAGCAATGTTAAAATCAAATACATGCACTCTTATCTACTAGACGTCTGCATGAATCCATTCAAAACGACAAATGAATCGTTTATATTTTGTAAAGAAATTTTAGCAAAAATTATTAAAAATCCACGCGATTTGCTTGCATTTAATTTTAAACTTGCACTCCCCACTGTAAGTCTAGCCAGCTAATATATGCAAACAAAACACTAGTTTTTACTTTAGCCTTCGGTTTTTCAAATTATTTTTGCAGGGCAATTTTGATTTTTTTTTTCTTTTTTGACGAACGTAGGGTTCGACTTTTTTATATTTTTCGTCATATCTCCAGCATTTACCCACCAGATCTCAGTTCCTACCACTCTAATATCAGTAAATTAAAGCTCGTTTTAATTTAAATAAACTTATTAATTCATTAAAATTTAATTAAATTATTGATAAACTTAAATTAAAGCAATTTTTCTAATCAAGCTTTTCGATTATTCCAGTAGCTGTATTAAAAAAAAAAGTATTTATTATTGCGAATGTAGGCCTCGCTAAAAAAAACCAGAAACTGCCTTGCAAAAATATTTTAGACTAAAAGGTGTACGGCGAACTTTTTGTTTGTTTGCTTGTAAGGTGGTACGATCTAATGTACATACTTATATACGTATTTACTATTTTATTTCTTCCTTAGTTAATTTACTTATATGTGTATTAAAAAAAATATATCTTATATTTTTTTATTGCAGATTCACCCAACAGACTGAAACGCCCATCGCCAACAACGTCCGCGGAGAAGGCACAAATTACGAAGGCAGCTGGACCGCCGCCAAAGGTGAGCTAATTTTTTCGAAAACATTTTTACTTCTCTACCTATAACTTTCCCAAAACAAACTATCTTTTCTCAAACAAATAATTACGGTCTGTGTATGAACTTTTAAAACACGGTGTTTTAGAAATTTGAGGGATTTGAAACAAAATGACGAATTTACACAGAAACACCGTTACGTTTTTGGTTGCATCGGCTATTTTGTATTTTATTTTAAAATGTAGCGTTCTTCTCAGGTATCACTCGAAAAATTTGTAACTTTTTATCAAAATATACATAAGTCGTGTTTGCACTAAATTTTAAATCGAATGGAGAAAGGCGTACCTGAAGCATTGATCTTTTATATACAAATATTTTTTCTCGCTGACGGTGTTGTGCATTTTCTTCCATATAAAGTATGCTCGGCAATTACTGTCATATGGAAGAAAATGCCTAGCACCGTAAGCAAAAAAAAATATTAAAAATCACCCCGCCCTTTTCTAGCGTCTTGAAATTTTCCCTTTAACCTACTAAAATTGAATGGGCTATAAAAATTCTGAACGAAAAAATTTAAAATATGAAATAAACAAAATAATAATAGCCAAAACTGGTCAAAATGGCACTTTACTCAAACAGATGGCCACAAGTGTATGTACATAACTATTTATCTTTTTCATGAAAATTTACAAAATTTTTTTACCTAACAAAAACTCCGTGTTTCATATAAACGACCACGTACCATAATAAATATTTGTTGGTACAAACACTGAGAAAAGAGTTTAGTTTCAACAACTAAATATGTTTCTCTCAACACGTGATTTGATTGTAGTTACACGATTTGGTTACAAGTTACCAAGTCTTGTGTTGACTCTTTTCTGAGTGTACCTACGTTGCATACTAACTGTTTTAATCTCTGCTTTTGACTAACGACTGTGTGCCTGGGTAGTAATTGCTTCCATTCATTGTTTGTTATCGCATTCTTGCTACTAATATTTTATTACTTATTTTCATTAATATTTTCGTTTTTAAATTTTTTGCATATTTTATTTAAGGATCTTTTAAACTTTAAATATTTCTTACACAAGTAGTATGTATTTTCAAATTTTTATTTTTATTTTTTGTATTGTCTACGAAAATTAAATGAGAGTTGTTTAAGATCCCGGATCACTATAGTATTACGTAGGCTCAGATTCCTTAAATTCAAAAGAAAAAAAAATATTTAATTGGTATATACTAGATTTTATCCAAATAGGACAAGGGATTAAAAAGGATAACTAAGGAATTTCAATATGTAATTTGAACCTGCATAATACTGAAATGGCATGTAATCAATGTATTTTTACAGTTTCGGGCGTTTTCATTGATCCTAGAAAATTATGTTGACCTCAAAAGAAGAGAATTTATTTTCTTAGGTGTAATTCCTATGGGAAAACTAAAGGAATGCGGCGGCACCTCTTACTATTGTCCTAGAGAGGTGAGATTCGTGAAGAGTCATTACTATACCAAGTGCTAAAATTTGAGTCTTATTCCAGTCGCATTGCAGGATTTATTTTTTTATTTTTTTGACGTGCTCTAATGTACATAAATACAAACATATCTACATACATTCCCTGCAAACCATTTTTTCAGAGTATTCTTAATCGTAAAGAATTTTTAAAGAATTCGGAAAGATCCCATCCGATTTTTTGCCGAATTTTGTAAAATGAAATAAATTACGCACACTTCCATTCTTTTACGAAATTTCGGAAGAAAATCGGTAAAGAAATGAAAATAATGCTGCTATGTGAAGAATTTCTTGCAGACTTCTTTCAGAATTTTCTTTATTTTTCGTACAGAAATTTCTTTACGAGTTCGTGTCAACCACTTCATATAATTTTCTTTGAAGATTCGGAAAAAAATCGTTACAGAAATCAGATACTCCTAAAGATTTCGTTAAGATTTCGGGAGCTTTGGTTTGCAGGGTTAATACGTACATAGATATGTATGTGTGCCTTTGAATGCGTGCATGCCTCTTTATCCATACCTTATCTAGACTTACCTTGACTTGTGCGTTCTGCAGCAGTCAATTCCTGCTAACACATTGGCACAATTCCCCAGTTTGTAATCGCAAAACGAAAAACACAATCAAACAAAACAACAACAACGATAAAAAATTCTAAAACAAAGTTCTATGGGAAAGCAGCAAGCAGAAAAAAAGTGGCAACAACAAATTGTAAGGCCATAGAAAATGTAGGCAAAGCGTTCCAATGTAGCGCTTGACTGCATAGCGAAAGGAAATCAAAACACAAACATACAGTTTGTGCAAAAACAACACTTTAGCAACAACTAACAATAGCAATAAAAAAAAAAAACAAATCACAGAAAGCTCCTCAGCTGTTTAGTTGCAACAAAATATTTGTAGCTAACTACGTGCCAATAAACCCCATAAAATGCGCAGAATTTCAACCAAAAGACTCAACGTACTCTCCGCTGCAACAACAGCAAGTGGTTAGAACAGAATATGTGCATAGCTTGTGGCAAGTATCGAAGTGGTTGCTGAAGTGGATGTACATATGTATGTACATACGTATATCGGCGTATAAGTGCATACTAAGTATATATGTATGTACAGATATACGACAGTGCCTATTTTGGCCGGCAGCTCTATCGATCGACTCGTGCATCACTGTTGCGCTTGCGTACGCATGTTGCTAGCTTTTCTTTGTTCTTGTTGTTGCCACTTCTTGATATGTATTGTTTCGTACTGGTCTTCCTGTATACATTTTATGTGCTAGTTTTCTAGCGTTCCGTTTTTGCGGTATGAGACCTTATAAGGTCGGTGTTATGCAGACAAACTTTTGTTTGCCAAATTAAATGGCGGCTGCTTAGTTTGCTCGGAGGTGGTTATGTCGAGTTTGGCACAGGGTTGCACGTTCATTATGGTTTTCATGGCTATTGCCAACACGAAATGAGAATTTCAGATGTACATAACGCACAAAATTTAAAATTTTTGTATATGACAACACCGAATTTGCTGCAGTTTGACCAAACAAAATTAGTTTGCTGTGAGAGTCGCCAAACTCGCTCTCTCCGAGTTTGCTGCAACAACAATTGCACGCAGTTTGCCAAACAAAATTTCTGCATAACACCGACCTAAGGCATTCGAACAAGGCCTTCTTTTGAGTTCCGCTATTGTAATTCCATTTGAACTACCTTATCTACATACATATGTATG